ATCCCAGGCAAATGTCGTTTATAAATTTGTCAGGGACTGACTCGTGGAATGACTGCTCTTGCGGAGGAGGCTGCATGGTTAATCGGGGGATTCCTTTTTTTTTGGGGGGAGGAAAAAAGAAAACAATAATCCTCTAATTTGACAGGATGAGGGATCGCGTGGCAGGGGGAGTTCGGCCAGCAAAACGTTTCGGAAACAGCAACGTTTCGGAGGCAAAACCAATGCGAAGCGCTTTGGTAAATTGCCACGACTTCCGCAGTGGAACGACGAAGCCTCAGGTCATAAATTAGATGTGTGTATAGGCCCAATCCTTGGATGGATGACAGGAACAAGCGTCAACGGGTCGTATGTTATGCCACTCGCACACCCCGAACAGAACACTCATCCCTACAACCCAATTTGGATCAGGTATGGATCTGACATGCAGCATTTCTGGGGGAATTATGCATACATTTTACACATTTTTAGTCAGGCAATCTTGCAAATGATGCAAATAATATTAGAAATAGAGAAACTAGGCAAAGAAAACCAGTCCCCCACCTACCCCTCACACATGTATTTGTTTACGCGTCAATTCTGATTTATGTGCGGCATAAGGCCAGGCGTTATAAACTGTTTTTGACAGCTGAGAGAGACAGAGACAGAGAGAGAGAGAGAGAGAGAGAGAGAGAGAGAGGTTTCGGCAGAAGGCAGCCTTCCCCTGGAAAAACCAGTGAAGGGGTTGCTTGGGGGTGTCTCCGACATTCACACATAAATTTACATGTGTATGTGTATGCATGAGTTATGGGGATACTACGTGGGGTCTATTACTTAAAATTTGATTTGGGTTCTGTTGTCGCCTGCCGTTTCCACATACACATCCCCCATGCCCTTATGCTAATTCCGCACACTTTTTTGTTCGAGGGGATAAGAACTATTTAACAAAACGCCATTCATTAGGGCTGATAAATTAAATTAAATATTATTTCATTAACACCTAATGCAGGCACAGCATGTGGTCGTCACACACACATTCCGCCTCTACGCCCGATTCGAAACGAAACATAGGGAAGAATTTGTACAATAATATGCCCAATGCCCAAATGTATGCACAAGAAATGTGTGTGTACAAATGTGGAATTAGATTGAATAAACTCATCAATTGCTAATCAATGTGGGCACAAATAATATTCAAGGAAGGGCAGGAATTCTCCCAAGTGGAAAATGTTGAAGGAGCCACAATGTCAGTTTGCGAAAATTCCCAATAATATTTGTCCACAACTAAACGAGGGGAATGTAAGCCTTAAACTGCTTTTAAAGTGCTGTAAAATTAATAATACATGTGTAAGTAGAGGTAGGGCCAGGCAATGCCTGTAAATGATTATGGCAAACGAGTGCTATTATGTTTACAACAATCCAGAGAATAACACCTGAGAGAAGAGACCCCCACACATTCAGAGCAGAGGAGACCTCCTCTGAGTAACTCCTACACTGGCACAATGAGTCAGAGTCGAGTGTCGAGTGGTGTAAACAGAATGTAGGTCTTCCAGCCGACTGCATACATTGTACATATTGTGCGAGAGTATATCCTTTCCTGTCTGCTCGCTGTCCGCTGCCCGCTGCCCGCTGCCCGCTCCTGTGGCACCCCAATTATAACGCGCTAAACAATAAAGAAAATAATAATAAAAACCTAGTGCACACATCCCCATGGATAGGTACATTTCCACATGTGTGTGTGAGTGTGTGAGTTTGTTTGTTTGTTCGAAGCAACCCTCGCTAATGAAGCTGCAGCTCTACTCCGCTCCACTCCGCTTTCCCCTGCTCTCCACTGTTTACACACGCAATTTGCCTTTGCCCTAACCATGCCGCACAGCCACAGTCACCGCCTCAGCCTCTGGCCTGCTCATCCGTTGCCTGGATCTGGGATCTGGGATCTGGACCTGTACCGTGGACCAGGACCAGCAACTGTGAAACTGAAACTGGATCTGGGACTTGAAACAGCGCCCTGGGATTATCACCAGCAGCGAATGGATGGCAAATGGAAAGACCGTAACAGCCGAATAATTAATACCCTGGCAGGCCAAATAAATACTTCGTTACAGGGTTCGGGGAATGTTTACAGACCCTTCGGTAAAGGAGATCTCTAACTCGATAAGCGTTATCCCTGCGCCTATCACGAGTAGCATTTACCTGTTTGTTCTTAGATAGAAGAAGATACTTTGCTAGTGCTTATTTTGATCAATACAGTCTAACTTCAGACACTTTTTAGGTCTCTATTTCTATGGCTTGCCATTGTCGGCCACTTTCTGTCCACTCTCCAGAGTCTCGACCATCGCAGAACATAGTCCCCCAAGGGGCTTTTCCCGAGTATTCCCGGCCGAGTACATGTGGAATCGCTTTGCCTTTGGCTGCATTTGATACGACACCGAATGTCGCTTAAGTTGGTCAAACACTTTAGTCAACTCTCCGCCGCTCCGGAATAGTTGTAACTATCGTATCGTATATTTGCTGTCTCTGTTTCGCTTATGTGCATGCACTCGTATTCCTATTCCAATATTCCATTAACTACTCAAAAAATCCTCAAACGTAGCCCTGTCATGGCCCGCACTGTGGGACGACCGCAGGGCGACATGTGTGCAGCAGAGCGTGAGAGCGAGCGAGACAGAGCGAGTATTGTTTGCCGGGAATAAATACAACTACAACAACAACAGCAACAACAACAACAACAGCTCTGCAGTGGAATCACAGCTGCGGGGCAACATAAAAATACGCCGCCTGCTGGCACATACATATATGTATATCCTCCATCTCACTCTTACCGCCACATCCATCACCATCAGTATTCCCATCTCTTTCGCACTCCATCGTTGCCGGCTCTGTCTATTGCTGGTGCTGTAACATTTGTTTTGACATTGCTCTCCGCCGTTCTTTGCCATCCGTCCGTTCATCTCTCTCTCCCTTTCTCCATCAATATGTCTGGCAATCAGTGTTTTTTCTCCTTTTCTCTTTGTAGTTTGTTTGCTGTTTGCTCTTTTGCTCCTCTCCTCTCTTCCCCACCACATCGCATAGTTTGTTTGTTATTTGCTCTTGCACTCGCTGCGCTTTTTACACTTGCCTCGCGTCTCGCGTCTCGCGCCACGCTCCTCGTGCCTAGTGGCCTTTTCGGCAAGTGTAAAGTTTGAAATTAGTTTGGAAAAGTGTCGAAAAAAAGCACACACCACTTGACAGTTTTTGTCAAGGCGCGGGGTCCGATGAAACGTTCTTGATCATCGATTAATTTCATATACAAAAAACGAACAATAACAAGAACCCCCAAACAGACTGCACCCCAATGCAGAATTTCCCTCACTCATGAACCGAATTGATCCTCTGGCGATGGCAGATTTTGTTTGTCGCCGTAAAGATATTTCCCTAATAATTCCCTGAAAAATCGCACACACAAATTTCCTTTAGAGTCCCTCTCCATAACCTCAAATCGGTTTGAGGTCTCAGTTCCGCTGCCTCGTTTTGCATTCCGTTTCACCTTTAATTGTGCCCCCATTCCGCCGCTTTGGCCTTGTGGTTTCTTCTTGCGTTCTGCTTTTCCGGGGAAGCTCAGTTCAGAATTTCAGTTTTGGGCAAGTACGCCTTGGGGCGCCATAAAATGTTTAATAAATTGCAAAAGTGCGCCAAAAGTGCCAAAAGGAAACAGAATACAGGGAGCGGAGAGCGGAGAGTGGAAAGTGGAAAGAAAAGGAGCAGACGGCAGCATAGATGATGGGAGAAAGTGCCAAAAGGAATACGGAACAGTGAGAGAGGGAGAGCGAGCGACAGAATGGAGCAGACGTCCAAGTCAACGACTCCTCACACACGGATACTCACGCACACGCATACAAAACATATTCTAATGAAGTTCAAGTGGAAAGCCGGCCCATCCTAAGGGGGGCCCAGCCAGGCAGGGGGGCGTGGCGTGGCTCTCTGGCATTCGTGGCACGTAAAATGTATTGAATAATTACATTCGGGGGCCGCCTAACGGCATACGAAATGAGGCGCACACAACACGCAGGCCGAGGTGGAGTCAAAGTCGAGGCCGGTCGCGAACACACGAGACACAAGTGGCTGGCAGGCAGGCAGGCAAGGCAGGCCACAGGCCGGACATTAGCCACGCCCCCACACCCGATGAGCGCTCTTCCCTCCCCAACCAGCGTGGCCTGCGTGGTCCTGCTGCTGCTGCTGTCATGTAATGAGCGCCGAAGGCATTGAAAATTTCGAAACGCCGCAGGAAATAAACTTTTTCGAGTGCTGCCCGTTGCCCGTTGCCCTCACCCCTCCGCAGACAGCGAAGAATGAAAGCGAAGAGGGTAACAGATAAAGATTGATGAATCCACAGAAATGCATTTCGCTTTAAAATTGAATTTCATTGGAACTAGCAGCAGGGTGGAGAGTGGAGAGTGGGGAGTGGGGAGTGGAGAGGGAGGAGTTCCAGGGGGTAATCGCAGGCCGATGGCCTTTAAGTAGTGCTAAAGTATCAATCAAAATGCGTGCCCTCCTCACAATAATCATGACGGAATTACGCTGAAGTCTCCGATGTGGAAGGTGAAGGAGCTGCTGCAACCTGAAACTCAATCTTCGACTGAGAGTTCCCCACACACACACACACACACACACACACTCTGAAGAGCAAAGATCTGAGAAAACGGTTACCGAATCCGAAACAACAAAATGGGAACACAAAAGATGATTTATCATTACAAGAACATCAGAGAGAGGGGGCAGAGACACAGGATAGAGCGATGGCGGGGCCTTACAAATTGGATTGCCACAGGGGATCGGAAAACTGGCACGCAAGAGAGGTGAGAAATGTTCCCAAGGGAAACCACCAGAAACCAGAAGGAAAATAAAGCAAAAACTGAAAGCAAAGTTAAGAACATTTTGGAATGTAGACGCAGACACAACGATGGGTGATCTGACTGCTCCATAAAGATTGGAGACTAGAGCAGAATTAGAGCTAGAAATAGATCATATTATAAATGATCTGCAGCCCTTTCCTCAGCTACAAACTTAATCACTTACAGATTCCACTTGCAATCGAAAAACATTTGAGATAAATCGCACATCAGCTGGCCAGCTAAACAGTAATTATCCCATCAAAGTGCACTATTCCATCAAGTCCAAAGAGCGCTCCAAATGCGAGGAAAGTATATCCGGAAGCGGAGATTCCATGCCATTGCCATTCCTCTCAGGCGACTAAAACCCCGCCCAAAGTTCCAGCAAAAGTTGCTTGGATTTTCCAAGTTGCCGAAAAGTTGTTTACCCACTGCCATCCAACCTGGTGGAAATGCCGCTCCTAACTCACGACGAGAACAATGTCAATGTTTTAATTTATTTAAAATCAATTTACGCAAAATCTTTTCCGAATTCTTTGCGAGTCAGAGCGAGGGAGGCGGAGGAGCCAGACCCAGGGTTTGGCGTCTGTTCGGCTGGCTCTGGCGTAGAGTCAGTGGCAGAGCCTCGACTCTGCTTAGAGCTCAGCAAAGTGCTTTTGGTAGCAGCACTGGAAAATCCTGCATAATTTAATTGTCCTGTTGTCGATGGTAGTTACTCCCTGTTCCTGTCTGTTATCCCTGGGATTCCTGACTCTCCGCAGTCCTTACGCCCAACCAATCTGCCTGCCTGTCTGTCTGTCTGTCTGTCTGTCGGCGGTCTGTTTCTATTTGTTGCCTTGCCGCTTGTAGCAACATTTCTACATGACTCCCACCCACTGCCGACAGTGCAACACTGCTGCAAGCCGTCCTTAATCCACATGCGACCGCCGCAAAACTCTGCCACGCTGTGGCACGGAGCAGACAGGTGCCTGGGTTTTCGGCTGGGGGTTTTTGCGGCTTCTTTGCGGTCCACTTGGCATCATCCATCGGCAAGGAGACCACAATTACTCTGTTTACTTCTACTTCTGTCTTCCGTTCTGCCAGTTAATTAAGTTTCCCAGTGCGAAAGTGCGAAATCTTTAAGGTTGAACCAACCCAATAGGCAGGCAGCGAATGCATCTCACAGCAAACTCAGATTTGATGGCGCTTTTTCGTTGTCATTCCTCAAGTGAAATCAAGTGACCGACCGACCCCTCGCAGCTGAAATCTTGGCAGACAAATCCATTAGCATTAAATTGCTGTAAACGGCTGTGGGGGCATCGTTCGGAATGGATTGGAGAATCTTTAATAATCTACAAATGGAACCAGAAAAACGGACTGAGACCAGCTGATAGTTTCATTAAATTCTCGGGAAATATAATACCATTTTCGGGGGATGAATCCGAGCCGAACCGACCGATTGTTGGATTGTTTTATTGATGCTGTTGCCTGGCTGGTGTCATTGTTGTTGTTGCTACCATGCGGGGTTTCTTCTAGACTGCTGCCGACGTACACATGATTTTGATTTCAATTGTATTCTCCCCGAAAACTATAACCATCAACCAAGCGCAGCTCAGCCAGAGTTACTCCACACAATCGGGGAATATTTGATGAGAAGTAGACAAATTGTATTGTTGTTGCAATGTTCCATTAATGCCACAGATGGAGGCACAATCGCGGAGTGTGTGTGTGTGTGTGTGTGCACTGAATGCCAAAGTTAATAAATTCAAAACACTTGAAAATTTCATTTTGGCATATTAAATTTCGGGAAAAGAAAAGGAAAAGGAAAAGGAAGAACCCCTCCAAACAGTCGAAAGGAGTTACGATGGGTAAAAGGACAAGGAAAAGGCCAGGGAAAAACTCAGTCAGGCACGGCGCCCATACACGAGTGCTCCTCTGATCCCCCTGCACCTCTCCCAGAAGGCACACAAAAATTTACATATGAAAGCCTCACAGCCGTGGCAAGTTGGGGGCTTAGGGGGAGTGACGCCACATGCAGACAGCACACACACATGCAGCTCGTGTCGTCGTCCTGGTGGGGTATTTGCAATTGCCAGCGAAGTATTAATGGCAGCATTTGAATAACAATGCAGCAGCAGCTCCGATTCAATGTGAATGTGCCTGGGAAATGTGGAATATGAATAGATGGAGGGACTGGGACAGGGACAGGGACAGGGACAGGGCAAATGACATGAATCGACCAATCTCCCAGCGGCAGGTCCCCTCTGCGGGCTCCAATTAATGCCCTAGCAAGAGACTAATTTGAATTGCATTTTGGGAGTCGCTGTTCCGCGAGAGAGTGCATTCCCGATCTCTGGGCTAGTGTCGAGTCGCGGCTGGGTCCAGTCAGCGTCGATTTCCAGGAACATTCTGGCGGCAACCCACGTAGCATAATGAGCACAAAATTCAGGAGAATTTAGCCAGTGGACAACGGAGTGGAGATGGTTATTAAGGGTCTGGGCTTCTCTCTCGATCTGTGTCTTTGTCTGCTTTGTCTGTTCTTTGCGACAGTCTCTGAAATATGCAAACGTCACTCGGATCGGATGCTGTTAATTATGGATCCCAGCGCATTCTCAGTCACATTTTATAATCACACACAAATCTGGATTTTAGTCTCAGATTGTAGTAGTTTCTTTATACATCAACAAAAAATTCCAGTCCAACATTTCGAAGGAGAATTGATTCTAAAATGCTAAAATACGAAAACATTTGGCAGCTGTTGGCCATCGTTGTGATGCTGCAGGTGCAGGGTAAGTGCAGACCCCTAAGATTCCCTACTCCACTGACCTTCTCTGTTGCCTTCCCTACAGGTCTGCGGGCTCAGTGCGCCGACTGCAGCCAACACTGGGGCTATCCTTGCAAGGCCAACGTCACGGGCTACTACTGTGCGCCAGGGTCCGCCATCGATACGGTGCCAATGGTGCAGGAGGACTACGAGACGAGCACCATTGATCCCATGGACATTTACAAGCAGTGCACGCCCTATCCCTTTGCCCTGAGTGTGTAATCTCCTCGATCTCTAGCTAGATCCCGAGCTATATCCCGTATCCCTCCCTCAGGCAAAATCGGCAGCTACTGCTGCGTCTATTCCCCGAAGATTGGCTGCCAGGCGGCCATCAATACCCACATGTACCAGTACGAGTCGAATCCCGTGATCTACTGCAAGCGCTGCATCGATCGCTGTCTCTGCGACAGGGGGGGCAAGGGCAACTATCGGGCAATGCCCTGGCAATTGGGCAGACTGCTGTTGGGTGTTCTGGCGATCATGGCACTGGGACTGCAATTCCAAATTGAAGTGTAAATTCTGACTGTAAATTCTGGTGTTCAAAAAACAAAACTGAGAGTATTCGGTGGAAATATTTGTACCATAAGAAGAACTTGTGCTACGATCATTGTACCTTGAGCAAACTGTGGACTTAACAACATTCTGCAACTGCCACAGAAACCATCCATTTTTCCTGTCGAATCTGCGGACAGGAATCTCTGGAATCCACTGTGTCCAGTGGAGTTGTGTCCCAGTGGCAGTGGAAACTTTGTGGCAGTTCAGAAACCGTTTCCCGCTGGCTGACACGAATCGCGGCGCATCTTGCTGGCGGAGTGCTGTGTGTGTGGGCTCTAATGAAATTAAATGTATCCCCGACAGATAGATGGCAAATAAAACGTTGAACAGCGGCGTTGCAGTTGCTCCTTTTGGCCAATACACTTGAGTGATTGGAACCATTGGGCCACCAGCCAGCCAGACACCACAGCCAGTTGCCAGTTGCCAGGGCAGGAGTTGGGCTTTGTCCGAGTGGAGGGTTCCTGCCTCTACGGGCTAAGTGAGAAAATGTCCCAGCCAGGCGGCAGAGTACGTGACTGGGAACATTATTGTTTGCTTATCTACACTTAATTGCTTCTGGCTACACTTAATAATATGATGCGGCCCGTCCAGCTCTCTATGGGTTCTCTCTCTCTCTCTCTCTCTATGCCATCGTCATCGTCGTAGCCATAGTCATAGCCATAGCCATAGCCGTGGCAAAGTCACTCTCCACCCTCGTCGACTCGACTCGACTCGACTCTATCTTGGGGCACACGGCACGCTGTTTGTTCGGTTTCCCACTTTGCGTTGGTCCGGGCATCGTCATCGTCATCGTCTCCCCGTGTCCCTCCTCTGCGTCTCTCCACTTCTTTGGTTGAGTTTTCATTCAGCTTGAGATTTGTTGCACCATAAAAAGGGCTTCTTGGAGACCAGTCTGCCGTCTCTCCTTTGCCTTTGCCTTTGCCTTTGCATTGTATTCTGTTGCATGCTGCTGGAGAGCTATTTGTTTGCCTCTTTTTGTGTCTTTCTCTCTCTCTCTCTCTCTCTCTTGGGCTGTTCTCTCTGTTCTTTTTTTTGTGGCATGAACAATTTCATTGGAATTGGTTTTTATTCGTGTTGCCCAGCCTCGTGTATCTTTCTGATTTCTGATGGATTTCTTTTGGATTTGTTTTCGGGAGGTACAAATTGTGTGACGCTAATGGGGCACAGGGCATGGCTCTAGGTGTGCGTGTGCCTGTGTGTGTTTGTGTGTGTGTGTGGGGTTGACATGCCTCATTAGCCACGAAGATCAAAAAGATTGAAGTAGTTTTCGGTTGGTCATGTGACATCGCTGCTTCCTTCCTTGATTGAACATTTTTCTTTCTCCCCCTATTGGAAATATTCGAACTCAAGAATTAATTATATTTTTGGCCACAGCATTGGCCACGCCCCGTACCCGTACCATTTTCATTCCAAAACTAAAGCAATTCCCACTCCAATGTCTCTCTCTCACTTTTTTCCTCTTGTTGTTCTCCCTTGCATTTCCATTTCCTTTTTCACTTTCTGTTCCATTTCCTAGCAGCCTCCTTCCATTCCTCTTTCCCTTCTGTCGTCTCATCTATCGGCCGAGTGCTAATTGTTTCGAATCTGCAACCCTCCTCCCGCTCCAAGAGTTGGTTGGGGGGTGGGGACCCTAAGCTTCAGTTAGCGATGGCAGTGGGAGCAGCAGCAGCAGGCAAACGGGAACGAGCAAAGGAAACGAAAGAGTCAAAAAGGTAAAACGAAAATGCAAAGGCTCGACACTTTGGTTACCCTTTGATGGATTATCGCATGTTTAATATAGAAACTGTTAAAGACTCTTGGAGCGTAGACTCTAGCATCTCCCTTGCTGCTCTCTGTATTGCTTTGCTGCATTCATGTTCGCTGTGACAATTGCGAATTTAGCTCTCAATGTGTGGTGTGCCTGTGTGCCTGTGTGTGCGTGTGTCTACCTAAACCCTCCACCCTGGTGCTTGCAATTAGTGGGCGTGGCACTGTTGCCCAGGAAGTGCGTGACTTGCAGTCGACTTGCAGTTGTTCCTATGCGTGTGCCTCAGTCTGTTTGCGTTTTGTATTTGTGGGGAAATCAATTGAACAGCAGATGAATAGAGGGATGCAGAGAGCAGGGCAGGGGGCAGGGACAGCAGAGCAGCATTCATGGATGGAGATGGTGGCTGGATGGTTGCTGTGGCTGTTGTTGTTGTTGTTGTTGTTCCACGACCAATAATCAGGCTAATAAACATTTCATTCACAGGCCTCATTGAGCAGGGGCCCAATCATAACAATGCCGTCTGCCGTCTGCCGCTGCCAAATGTTCAATAGGATCCCATTGCAAACATTGCCACCACCACCCCCTAGCAACATATGGAGGCAAGACGATGATGGCTTTCCCTTTCATCGCTCGATGTATGGACGATGATGGCCTGTCATAATATGGGGGCTCGAGATGCACACAAATAAACCGGAAATTATTGTTTTTTTCCTTTGGTTGCCTCTGCCAGAGACACAAGCTTTTCCGTTTGCCAGAGCAACGAGCAAATTACAGAGGGGGAAGGGATAGCCAGAGGGGCATCCCTTGAGCTTATCCTTATCAAGTGTATGGCTGGCTGCCAGAAATTGAGTTTACTTCCGATTTTTGGCATTTGTTCACCTACCTGGAAGAAGAGTAGAGAGAAAATGCCAAATTTAGTTTATCTCTCAGTTAATTCTTAGACAAAGCTTTAATTTGGTAGGTAAATATACAAATTGTGAGGTTCCCCCCCCCCCCCCCCACCCCTTTCGAGGGCATTTTTCCGCCAGACATCTGCTCGTAGCAATCAAAACCAGGAACAATGGCAAACAAACGCCAGGCGTAGTCCCAGACCCCATTCTTATTCTTTACTCCTTTCCCTTTCTCATTCCGTGAATCTACCCCCAAAAGGAACTGGTTAATCCCCCGCAAAACCCGGACGATTAACCAAACCCAAAAACCCAAATGAAAACCAAATGAAAACCAAACCAAACCAAGTCGAGCCGAACCGAACTGAACCGAACCGCAGTGCAAAATTGCAGCCGAAAAGAATGCCCCAGAATGGCAGATAACAACTGCAGATAGTCGGAGGGATGTGAGCCGCTGTACAACACAGTAACAAAAGGACCCCGGGCAGGGCACCAAAATGCGAGTAAAACAATTCCAATTAAAGCGATGCGACAGGAAGAGTCAAGCTCCCTCCATCCTGCACCCGTATTTGCGAGTATTTGCAGCGAAAAAGGTAGAAAGGTGGTTGGTAGGGGGCAGGGGGTTAAGCGAAAGGGCAGTCAGAAAGTCATGGTAAATCCAATTGTAGACACAACTAAATATATTTATATTTGCATTTGTATTTGTGTTTCTAGAATGGGATTAAAGTTTCCCAAAAGCACTCAAAAATTGCATATCCGATGAGCGGAAGGGCGGCAGAGCGGCTGAGCGGAAGTGCATTAAAAGAGGTGCACGGGGCAGAGGCCAAAGGGTTAACCAAGAGGCCAGCAACTGTTGAAACTCCCACGGATGTCCCGCGATAAAATACACTGAGCGAAAGGCCAAACGGGGGTTGCTTGGTGCTTAAGCCATGATGCGATCTCTCTCTCTCTCTCTCTATCGAAACCCTCCCCCTGGCACTACCCTAAACCCGAAACACGGCGGTCAATCAGTTTACAACAATAACAATTTCTGAAGGGTCAACACGTGGTCCACATCGACATCCAATCTCCCGCCTACATCCGCATTCGCATTCGCATTGGCGTTCGCGTTTTGTGTTTTTGCGG